CTTACACAGCTGTGAGTTTCAGGGGAAGTCTGACCTCCACACTGGGATGGTGTTCTATGGGATTCCATGATGGGAGTGACATTACGATTTGCCTTCTTAAACCAGTAATAGACTAATTGGAGAGCTTTCAAAAAACGCCACTGACTGAAGTTCTTAAATTGCAAACTAGTACCCTTAAAATAAAACGTATCAGAACAGCATACTGAGTCAGACCAAAGGGCCATCTAGCACAGCGGCCTGTCTTCCAGTAGACGCCAATGCCAGGTGCCCCAGAGGGAATGAACAGGGGGGAGTCATGTGATCCATCCCAGGGTCACCCATTCCAGCCCTGACAAACAGAAGTTAGGGACACCATCATTGCTGTCTTGGCTAGTAGTCATTGATGAACATGAATTTATCTGGTTCTTTTTTGAACCCTGTCCAAGTCCTGGCCTTCATATTCTCTGGCAGATACAGTCCTACCATTGCAGGAGGAGTAATGGTAGTCCAAATTAGGGGCTTTAGTTCGAACTACCTAGCCCATGCCACTTGTAGCCGCGGGCAGGGAGTCCGAACTACCGGGCATTTAAAAATGGCGGCACCCAGGAACACGCAAATAAAGCCCGGAATATTTTAATCCCGGGCTTCATTTGCAAGTTTGACGGGGCAGTCAGCTAGAAACCGACCGCCATCCTGACACTGAGCCGTTGATCACTACCTGCTGGGCCCAACCTTCCAGCCAGCTTTCTATTCATTTTACCGTCCATTTATCCAATCCACATTCCCTTAACTTGCTGGCAAGAATATTGTGGGAGACCATATCAAAAGCCTTGCTAAAGTCAAGATATATGGCATCCACTGACTTTCCCATGTCCACAGAGCCAGTTACCTCATCATAGAAGCTAATCAGATTGGTCAGGAACAACTTGCCCTTTATGAATCCATGCTGACTATTCCTGATCACTTTCCTTTCTTCCAAGTGCCTCAAAATGGATTCCTTAAGGATCCCTTCCATGATTTTTCCAGAAACAGAGGTAAGACTGACCGGCCTATAGTTCCCTGGATTGTCCTTCTTCCCTTTTTTGAAGATGGGCACTACATTTGCCTTTTTCCAATCATCTGGGATCTCTCCCAATCTCCACGACTTTTCAGAGATAATGGCCAAAGTCTCCTCAATGGCATTTGCCAACTCCCTCAGTACCCTCGGATGCATTAAGTCTGGACCCATGGATTTGTGTACGTTTAGCTTTTCTAAATAGTTCTAACCTGTTCTTTACCCACCAAGGGCTGTCCATCTTCACCCCATCTTGCGTCACTTTAGCGCATTAGTCTGGGAGCTGACCTTGTCTGGGAAGACAGACAAAGAAAGCATTGAGTACTTCAGCTTTCCCCACATCATCTATCACTAGATTACCTCCATCAAGTAGGGGCCGCAAATGGTCTCTGATCACCTTCTTGTTAACATGCCTGTAGAAACCTTGCTTATTATCCTTCACATTCTTTGCCAGTCGCAGTCCCAATTGCACTTTCGCCTTCCAGATAAACCCCCGGCATTCTCGAGCTATACATTTAAACCCTTTTCTGGTCATTTGTCCAAGTTTCCACTTTTTGTAAGCTTCCTTTTTGTGCTTAAGTTCACCAAGGATTGCCCCTGTACGCCAATCCGGTCTCCTACCATGTTTGCCTCTCTTGCTACGCGTTGGGATGGTTTCTTTCTATGCCTTCAATAAGGCTTCTTTAAAATACTGTCAGCTCTCCTGGGCTCCTTTCCCCTTCATGTTTAGCATCCCAGGGGATTCTGCCCATCAGGTCCCTGAGGGAGTCAGTCTGCTTTTCTGAAGTCCAAGGTGTGTATTTTACTACTCTCTCTTTTCTTCCTTTGTTCAGGATCCTGAAATCTACCATCTCATGATCACTGCTTCCGAGGTTGTCACCCACCTCTACTTCCCCTATTAGTTCCTCCCTGTTGGTGAGCAGAAGGTCAAGCTGTGCACGGCCCCTGGTCATATCCTTCAGTACTTATACCAAGAAGTTATCCTCAACATTCTCCAAAAACTTCCTGGATTGCCTGTGTACTGCCGTATTGGTCTCCCAACAGATGTCAGGGTGATTGCAGGACCTGGTTCTCAGGGGGACTTTAATCTGGAAGTTTCTCTGAGTTGTCTGAAGAAAGCCTCATCCACCTGATTCAGTGGCCTGTAGTAGACACCAACCACAACATCACTGCTGTTGTTTGCACCTCTAAAGTTAACCCATAGACTCTCATCAGGTTTTTCTCCTCTATATATTGGACTTCTGACCAATCATAGTGCTCTCTTACATATAGTGCAACTTCTCCTTTTTCTCCCCTGCCTGTTCTTCCTGAACAGTCTATAATCTTCCATGACAGTGCTCCGTTCATGCGAGTCATCCCTCCAAGTCTCTGTTATCCCAATTAAATCATATTTCTTTGACTGGGCCAGGGCCTCCAGTTCTTCCTGTTTGTTGCCCAGGCTTCTTGCATTAATGTACAAACATCTCAGATAACCAGTTGATTGCCCTACCTTCTCCATTCGAATCAGGGGTCCTCCTTTCTTGCTCGTTCCTCTTTCCATTTCTCCCCGGTATCTGACTTTCCCACTCCCCTCAGGGTTTTGGTCACTGTCCCCTAATGAATCTAGTTTAAAGCCCTCCTTATTGGGTTTGCAAGCCTGCCAGCGAAGATGCTCCTTCCTTTCTTGGTTAGGTGGATCCCATCTCTTCCTAACAATCCTTGTGCCCGGAACAGAGTCCCATGGTCGAAGAAACGAAAGCCATCTCTGCAACACCAGCTGCACAACCATGCATTTACTTCCTCAATTTGACGATCCCTGCCCAGTCCTTTCCCTTCAACAAGGAGGATGGATGAAAACACCACCTGCGCTCCAAATTCTTTGATCCTTTCCCAGTGCAACATAATCCGCAGTAGCCCGCTCAAGGTCATTCTTGGCCGTATCGTTCGTTCCCTCGTGGAGAAGCAGGAAGTGGTAGCGATCCGAAGGTTTGATCAGTTTTGTAAGCCTCTCAGTCACATCCTGAATTGAAGCTCCCGGTAAGCAGCACACCTCTCGAGATTCCAGGTCCGGACGGCAGATGGATGGTTCAGTCCCTCTTAGGAGGGAGTCCCCGACCACCACCACCCATCTTCTTTTGGGGCTGGTGGTCGTGGAACCCCCATCCCTAGGACTACGCATCCCATGCCTTCCAGTAGATGGTGTTCCCTTGTGGTTTCTTCCTTGCGAGGTCCCTTCCAAAGCATTCACCACTGCAGAGCCTGTGGAGACAGCCTGAAAGCGATTACTTACCTCTATAGCATTGAGGGATTCCTGTGCTGGCCTTTTTCCCCTTCTAGAAGTTACATGCTGCCAGTTCTCTTCCTGGTCCCGTACTGCCCTCTCCGGCTCTTCTGCCTGCCGTGCTTGTAGGATTAAATACTGCCTTCTATCAAGGAAGTCTTCAGCCTCTCTTATCGAGCATAGGGTCGACACTTGGGCTTCCAGTCCTCTAATTTTTTATTCCAAAATGGTGACTGGCTTGCACTTAGTGCAGATGAAATCTGTTCTTTCTTCCGGGAGGAAGACAAACATGGCACACGCTGTGCAGGTAACAGCAGACCTATCACCATCCATCCCTGATGTCCTGGAGAAAGGATTTAAAAGAAACGCAAGAGAACCTCGCCCCCTTTCTTTTCCCCTTCCAAACTCCCTTTCTAAACTCCCTGTTAGCACTCACCTCCTGTTCGCAGTTCAATGGGAGTCCAGATTTGGGGATGGATCTGGATTCCCAGTGGCTTATTGGTGGGTTTTGGGAATGGGACTCTGCGGGGTAGTAGTCCAGGTGGAGGTGGCTGGGTTTCAGTGCGGGGGGTGGGGGATCTGGGTTTGGGAGGCTCATTGTGGAGGGACTGAGACTTGGTGGAGTAGGGGTGTCTGGGTGCAAGTGGTTGGGACTTAGTGAAATGGAATTCTAGCTATGGAGTGAGGGGCTCATCAGGGTACTCCAGAAGCAGGGAGAATGGAGTTTGTTGGAGTGAGGGTTCAAATGTGGGCACTTGTGGTTGGGGGGGGGGGGCTCTGGGAGGAGGAATAGGTCTTGGGGGGCAGATCCGGTGTGGAATGGCCGAGGATTAATGGAATGAGTTTGAAATCCAGAGAAGGGAGATTTAGCAGAGGGAGTCTGGGTATGGGAGGTGAAGGGGAGGTTGGAATGTGGGTGCACTGGGTTTGGACAGAGGGTGAAGTGACTCCCCATATAGAAACCTTTCCTTCCATGTCTGAGAAGCAATGGGGACAGGAAGTGAGTGGGAGGTCAGAACTTCCTGCAGCCAGAGGCAGTTGCTGAGGGTGGGTTGGCTACAGCCCCTCCTCCCTACAGGGGAAGAAAAAGTCTGTTCCTCCCTCAGCCTAGGCTAGTAGCTAAGCCTAGGGCAGAGTACATGGCAGTAGCTGGGGTGTCCCCACCTCCTCCTTGCTCAGGCACTGGGTCTTTGACTTCTCTTGCAGTTTACCTGTCAGAAGTCATTTTTCTGCAGGGAACACAAGGTTACTTTTCTGTAACTGAAGGCAGTCTGCCACACCCTTTATTTCCTCATGCGTAACCATGATGCAGCACAAGACACATGAAGACTGCCAAACAGTAATATTTTGGTAAGCTCTAGCTCCAGGCACCTGATGCATGCACATGTCACTAACTGAATTACAGATAGGGGCACACATCTCAAAAACCCTTCATTACAGATAAGTAACTTCATCATATTCAGATATTATCATGCTAGGATATGAGAACTGGGAATATGTGCAGGTCTTCAAGGAAAAATGAAAGTTAATATTTTAATATTGTGGCTTTTATTTGTAGGGTAGATGACTTTATTAAATCAAGTAGGTTTTCACAATTAGCATTGTTTCAGCTTTTACTTTTTTAAAATAATCTGTATAGCAAACTTGATGTAGTAATTGAATTAAATATAAAGGAAAATCTGAGTCTCTTATTCTTTCTTCTGTTAGATTGCAAAACTGCGTCAGCAGTTGCAGAGAAGTAAACACAGCAGCAGGCATCATCGGGATAAAGAAAGACAGTCTCCATTCCATGGTAACCATGCAGCCATTAATCAGTGCCAGGTAAGGCTATGCCACTTGTCAGGGCATTGTGGGAGTAAGCATGTTAACTCCTGTGCATTCCAAATAGTGATTTTTTTTTTAAAGAAAAAAAATGCTTCCATATGTTTTGAAATACTTGTTTACTACTGAATGATGTATATCTGTGAAATATAAAGAACCTCTTTCTTTTGTGAGATTAAACTGATTTTCTTTAGCATGCTGAAATAAGGTGTGTGTGGTTTTTCTCTTAAATTTAACGAGTATTTTAAAGGGAGGTTAGTGAAGAATATGTTTATTTACAACATAATTTGTAAGGACTCTGATGCAAATGGATGATAGAGGTCAGTTCACTGAATTAAAAGTCAACCCATTTGGATCTGTGTAATCTAATTCTATGAAATTCTTTCATGTAATGTGATGTGTCTAGGGTTATTAATTTGTATATAGAAAGTCACATAGAACCAGCTTGACCGTATAAGTGGTATTGTGTTGAGAATGACGTTTTAGTTTTCTCAGTGCCCAACAACCAAGAATCTCAGTTAGGGATGTTATATATCGTGTAATTGAATAGTCATGCCACTCTATCAGAAGCAGCAGCTCCAGGTGGCAGGCAGGAGCTGATCCACGAGGGGAGCTGGATTAAAAAAAATTGCTTCCTGCACAGACCGGCTCCTGCCTGCTACCCCACGCTGCTGCCTCTGATAGAGGTAGTAGTGTGGGGTGGGCAGCAGCCCTGTCTGTGGGGTACCCACGCTCCCCATGGACAAAGGCTGCTCCACAGTAGCAGCCCCTGTCCACATTGGGATCCAGTATCCCACGGAGCAGCTTCTGTCTGGGGTGGGCCCAGCTGCTGATAGAGGCAGCCATGGGGAGGGAGGTCAAGCAGGTCCACAAAACCCCAAGCACCAGCTCCTGCCCTCATCCCCCCGGCCTCTGTGGGAGGCAGCAAGGAGGGGCAGGCAGGTCCGCAGAGCCAGCATGCATGGAGGTTGAGGGAAGAGGCGGATCTGGTGTTCATAGGGAGCTGCTACCTTAAAAGCTGGCTCCCCCATGGGCATTGGCTCCTGCCTCCCCTGCCCTGGGTGGAGATGTGTGTAGTCAATAGGATTAACTGATCAGTCTATGTTTATCGGTTAATTGTGTAGTCATCTACATGTTGACATCACTAATCCTAGTCTGTGTTCTGTGGATGGATTCCATTTGTCCATCAGGTACATGTGAAGGAATTAGGAGTTTACACTGACTTGCTCTGAGAGGATTCTCACTCAGTTAACATTAGATGAAAAGATGGTAGCTTCTGAGTGACTAAGGGAAGGATAGTGAATCCCCAGACACAAACTGCAGAGGAAGAATAAGAATATATTTGCAAAGCATATAATGTTTCCTCTTGAACAACTATAGAGGATATGGAAATACTATTTAAGTTCTTTCCTGCTTCTGTGGCACTAAATTCATCCTTTTGTTTAGGTTGAAGGCAGTAGTGTATATATCTTCCCTGTTAGGTGCATGTTTTTGTTATCACACTCTTGAATTCCTGTCACTTCTCAAAAAAACTTTGATATTTTCCTGGTAGTTTCAGACACATATGACCAGTCCAAGTAGTTGTTGGAGTTGCAAATCACGATCTTTGCACAGCTTAGATCAGTGGTCCCCAATGCGGTGCCCACGGGTGCCATAGCGCCCGCCGGGGCATTTGTGTGC